AGAAAACCAACAAGAATATGATATTGTCAGAGAACCAGATAAAGATAGTAAGAATTGATGAGATACAGCCCCTAAGAAGATGGATAGCAGCAGGAACTACCAAACACTTCTCAGTCCCAACTTTCAGTATTAATGGACTTAACTCTCCAAGTAAATGACATAGATGACTAGAGGATCAAAAAGTAAGGTCCATCCATCTGTTGTCTTCAAGAGACACCTCTTTCTCACAATAACAAACATAATCTGAAAGTGAAAGGCTGGAATAAAATCTACCAAGCAATAGGCCCCATAAACAGGTCAGAGTTGCAATCCTAGTATCAGATAAAATAGGCTTCAAATTAAAATTAGTGACAAGAGACAAAGAAAGACATTACATACTAATAAAGGCATCTCTCCTACAAGAGGATATAACAATTCTAAATATCTATATACCAAATGTTGGAGCATCCAACTTCATCAAACAAATACTACTTAACCTAAAAACAAACATCAATTGTTGGTGACTCTAAGATATGGAATCATCACAGATGCCCTTCAGTGGACGAATGGATCAAGAAAATGTATATATACACAATGGAATTCTATGCTTCCATCAGAAAGAGTGGCAGTGCCCCATTTGTAAGGAAATGGAAAGGCTTGGAAAGCAAAGTAAGCCTGACCCAAAGAAACGCAGGCTGCATATTTTGCCTCATTTGTAATAACTAGAATATGTCTATAACCTACAAGTTAATCCAATGGATAGTAAAGACAAATAATTACACGTGGACATGATTAATTAAAGAGTACTCCAATCATTAGCACACTGAGAACAAAGGAGGATACTTTTAGGAGAGGATCACAAGGGCTCAATAGCTATGTGCATATGACCATATAAAATTATGTTTATGGTGGGGCTGGAAAGGTGGCTCAGTGGTAGAGCACTTGCCTTGCATGCATGAGGCCCTGGGTTTGATTCCTCAGTACCACATAAGCAAAAAGAAAAAAGCCAGAAGTGGCGCTGTGGCTCAAGTGGTAGAGCGCTAGCCTTAAGCTGAAGAGCTGAGGGACAGTGCCCAGGCCCAGAGTTCAGACCCCATGACCAGACCCCCCCAAAAAAAATTATGCTTATGGAAATGAACTCCAAGTAATGGAAACAAGAGGGTTTTTTTTAATTTTACTGTTTGTAGTCATTTCTTTTGTCTTTTATTTCCTTTGATCTATTTCCTGTTGTTACTGTTTTGTTATTTCTGTACTCTGTCTTATATGTAAGTTTATTTGGGGAAGGGAAGGGGAAATCAAAGAAACAGTGGGACAAAGGGTGAACCAATTCAACAGTGATACTCACTAGACACTATGTTGGAAATGAACTTTACAACTTGGGGCAGGGTGAGAGGGGTCCATAGGGGAATAAATGGGAGAAAATGAGGGAGGAGTTGACACTGTTCAAAAAGAAATGTACTCATTACCTGACTTATGTAACTGAAACCCCTCTGTACATCACCTTTACAATAAAATAAAAAATAGAACAACAAGATAACAAGAAGTTACCTTCAAAAGTTCCCACAAAAAATAACTAGGCTGGGGCTGGGAAGGTGGCTCAGTGGTAGAGCGCTTGCCTTGCATGCATAAGGCCCTGGGTTTATTCCTCAGCACCACATGAGCAAAAAGAAAAAAGCCAGTAGTGGCACTGTGGCTCAAGCAGTAGAGCGCTAGCCTTGAACTGAAGAGCTGAGGGACAGCGCCCAGGCCCAGAGTTCAGGCCCCACGACTGGACCCAAAAATAAAAAAATAAAAAATAAATAAAAAAAGTAACTGGGACCAACTCATGAGCATGTTCAAAGCAAGCTGAGTTTAACTATTAAAAGAAAATTTTAGCAAAGTCATTCTAAAGCAAAAATCAAATATTAATTTTAATAGGGTTATAAGATTCAAATAGAGACCTCTTTATACAAAAACAAATTTATACTTACACTTTAATAAGAAATGCAAATGACAAAGTATGATTTTATGAAATAGTGTAATTCAAAAAAAGAAAGAAAGATAGAAAGAAACGAAAGAAAAGAAAAAATTGAGACTATTGAGAATCTTCAAAATGTGCAAATTGAGCTTTTTGAATTTCATTTGAAATTTCCCTCAGTTTTTTGAACTCCTAGCCTCAGGGTTCAAAGAATTCTATTGATATTTGAGGCAAAGTTCAGTGGGATTTGATCTCTCTTATGTAACATGTATTTTTTGGAATCTGAGAAGGAAACAAAGCTTTATACAATGCTTCCTTGGGATTTTTTTTATATTTTGGGGTTTTTGGATTTTTTAAGGCCAAGATTCAATTCCCTTTAGCTTTAGAAATTTCACATTTTCTGCATTGAACGACTATACTATTATCAGGGGAAAAAAGGGTGCATGACATTAACTATGGAGTAAAGCATGTAGATTTCTGCAAATAATGGGAAGAAATCAACACACCATGGAAAAGTAGATAAAGAACACTATCTGTGCTCCATGTCTAAGAATACAGGTCAAGAAATTTCTTATCCTTTCTGATTCTAGTACTTAATTGTTTTTTCAAATATGCTTTAAAGCAAAAGTACTTACAATAATACTGGTCCAAAAGAAAACTAAACTCATTATTAAATCCAAGGCAACGTCAAATCTTTATCAATGTTCTCTCCTATATGAGTAAGTAAAATATACCAGTTGATAAACTGGTATAACATAAAGGCTTTGTAAAATTTTTTCTAATTCTAAGGATGTTAGGAACAGTTCTTCAATGTTTATTGAATATGTAGTTAAAAGTAAATGAATAAATTTATGTAGGATTCTGACAAGATAAGTTGTCAAAATATTTGAAGTATAAGGTCTAGAAGAGTGGTTGGCAACTGTCTTTTTTGATCCATAGAAATACACTATTTATTAAAAGTATTATCTTTAAGTAGGCAACTGCCTATATTAAGCTTCATTAGTGCCAGGATGCTTGACTGACTTTTTCTCACAGAAAAAGCAATCACTGGTTTGTGCACAGTATTCAGACTACTGCCATTTCAAGGCAAGATCTAACAATGATTGAGTGACATAAATATACCATAGTGTAACAGAAGTTACCTGGAAATATATACATATACATATTAGTGTGTATATATATATTGAGTAATACTTTCCAAAGAAGAATATTCTGCATATATTTATCAAAGATGGTTTGCTGTATCAAAAACATTTCTTGATGCTAGACATGATGTACAGTCTGCAATTCCAGCACTCACAGGCTGAGACGAGAGGAAAGACTTTGAGACTTGCCTGTGGTATATAATGAGACTGTCTTGAAAAACAAAGAACCATAAAACCTCTTGAAATTTATAAATGCAAACCCCACCAAAAATTAGCAAGAAATACAATATCTTTTAGTTCAATTCTACTGTTGTAGACTCATAGAGTTACATTCTCGTCAGCAAGTAGGACACCCAGAAAATTCTGTCTTTAATTAAAAACTTTATTTTTCAATACAATTCACAGTTTATACATGGTGCATCTCACCATATGAACTTCTGGAACAGTTATTGAGGAAAATGGGCGTAGATTTTGCTCAAAAAGAGCCTGATTTTCCATAATTTGGGGTTAGAATTTTTTTTGTTTACAAAAGTACCTTCAACAAATTAACTAAATATTTACATTTCTAGCTTAAATTTCAATTTTGGAAAATAAGCATCTATGAGATTTTTTTTCTTTTTTTAACATCCTGGGTTTATTTTGTTAAGACCTTAATATGAATTCCACTCATTTATGTATGCATCTCCCAACCCCCCAAAAAGGAAAAGAAACCAGTTTTTCAATTATAGTTATGGAAATCATGTTCCTTCTGTGTTTAAAATTATATATATTATATATACACAATGTACAGCACATCTACATAGGAAAATAAAGGGAATGGTAGCAATTTACTTGGTTGCAATTACTGAAAACTTTCTCCATCTTGGAAACATCCAAAGAATCATAGGATATAAACTAAAAAGGACTATCAGCCTTTTCTACCTCAAAAAAAAAAAAAACCTCAAGATTTAAATTGTGCTATAACAGCGTTTTCTCTTATGCCAGAGATGAACCATGCCTGCACTCTGCATTTTTTTCCATGTGCAAAATCACAGTGACCCCAGTTCCAGCATGTTCTCTCATATCCAATCAGAGGGACCCAGGAAATTCTGGAAATCTGCCCCCTCTCACTGAGCATCTTTTTTTCAGGAAAAGAAAATGACAGAAGCCTTTCATACATTAGAAAGCAAATAGAAGCCGGCAGTTTAATAGTTATTAGCCAATACTCATCACATATTATTTTGCTGTGTTCTTTCCATCAGAATGAATTCACACCAACTGCTTGAAATCACCTGTAGTAGGAGGACCTGTTTTTAACAGGTTTCTTCTGTCTGATCATTATATATGAAAATGTTTTTCTTCCACCTTTAAAAATGTATATTCATAAATGGTAAATTCCAAATACTGCCAAGGGGGAGAAAAAAATGCACTGTTTAAGCAGCCAACATTATTGGCCTGGTAATATTTCACTACATATATGTACCATTGGTACCTGAGTCAAATAAATACTCAGAAGGACCATCTTTGCACCTCCTTTCTCCGCAGTGCCTTTCACACTAGAGTTTCTGAGTGCTGCTTCAATGTCCTTCTAATTTGGCATCTATTCCTTCTTCGGACATCACAACTTCAGTCATTTTACACACTCTTTCCAGCAAGGTATAGTACTCAAAGGGAAGAGATGGGGCAAAAGACTGCAGAAGTGAGCCTAAGGGCGGGGAGTGGGAAGGAGAAACCACAGATTAGCTAGAGAGAGGTTCTGTGTCTTCATAAGATAAGGCACTGACAGAAAATTTCTTAGGTAAAAGGCTGCATAAGAATATCTTGCCATTTACAAAAAGAAACATTGTCACCCATAAATGGTCCGTGTATCTAGGCTCAGTTAGGTAGACCCTGAAAAGTTAAGGACTGATCCCTCAAAGCTACATTATCACCATAAACAAGAATTCATTCTGAGGCCTTGATGGCACATGGTTGGGTGGCGGGGGACGGGGGAGGAGAGGAAAACAGTCTGGGCACAGAAAGGCATCAGACGTGGCTTGTCCATTTCCACTGGTCAATCGAGTGGAGTGTCTCACAAAGCCTCCTCAGAAAGAGAGCACTGGCTCCGGAATCCAACTTCTCTCAGTGGCAGATGACCATAATGGGTGTCTCTACTTTGCTTCCCCTTTTGAGCTCATGCACAACGTTTAGAATGCTACGGCAACAGTCACAAAGAGCATAGAGAAGTCCTCACCTACGGCTATGCCTACGGCTCATCCCATAGAGTGCTATTTAATGTTCTCAATCACAGCTATCTCTTCCCCAGGGCAGTGAGGCGTCAAACCATTGAGATAGATGCTCTCTGTCTTCAGTAAAGGAGGCAAGACATCTCTGTCACTGGTCAGGTGGTTCACTGACAGGGTCCTCCTACAGGGAGTCAGCTCCTGGTTGTGGTTTCCAGCCAGTTCTGCAGAGAGTTTCCGTTTAATGGAAGTGGCCCGCTGGAACTTGTCATAAATCTCCACACTCAGCCGCCTCCTGGTTTCTTTGAATTCCGCTGTGACATTGGCCGTCCATTCAGCAGCGTGTGCTCTGAATTCTCCCACCTGGACAACAGAAGACAAGAAGAGAGGAGGACACATTAGCATGGAGATCAATACCACGTGTGGCTTATTTCCTCTTCCTTTGATCGGGGGCTTTGGAAAGAAGACAGGAGTAGCCATTTGTAAGACTGATGTTCTGATGTAATTAGACAAGTATGACAAGGCATGATCGTCTTCTATACAGACATGGCCCTAACAATTAATGTCCCCAGCACTTGCTGTCATTAGATATTTTTAATTGGATTATTTGTACTTATTCCATATGTGGAACTTAATGAAGACTTTGGGTGGGAAGTAGTAAGACATAGTAGAAGCAGTAAAAAAGAGGAAAAATAATCTGGAATGGGAATCCAGGGGGTCTGGTGAATTCCAATGAGATGGTGCTATCCAAAAATCTAGGTTTTGGAATCTAGAAATAGTGTCTACCAGAAATTTGTTTTTAATCTCCTATGACTGTTTTTGGAATTCACTTTCTTTCTTTCTTTCTTTCTTTCTTTCTTTCTTTCTTTCTTTCTTTCTTTCTTTCTTTCTTTCTTTCTTTCTCTTTCCTTTCCTTTCTTCCTTCCTTCTCTCCTTCTCTCTTTCCTTTCTTTCCTTTCTTCCCTTCCTTCCTTTCTTCCCTTCCTTCCTTCCTTCCTTTCTTCCTTCCTTCCTTCCTTTCTTCCTTCCTTCCTTCCTTCCTTCCTTCCTTCCTTCCTTCCTTTCTTGCTTTCTTTCTTTCTTTCTTTCTTTCTTTCTTTCTTTCTTTCTTTCTTTCTTTCTTTCTTTCTTTCTTTCTTTCTTTCTTTTTCCTTCTTGTCATTCTCATGGGGCTTGACTTCAGGACCTGGGCACTGTCCCTGAGCTTTTTTGCTCAAAGCTAGTACTCTACCACTTTGAGCCACAGTGCCACTTCGAGTTTTCTGGTGGTAAACTGAAGATAAGACTTTTCTACAGGTCTTGAACTGCAATCCTCAGATGTGGGTGTGAGCCACAGGCATAAGCCACCATCACCCAGTTAAGAATTCACTATTTCTTAAATAAGTTACAAAATATTTTGTCTCTGCCTTCAGGGAAATCAGAGTAATTTGAACTGTCAAGTCTGTTTCATATGGGGCCCTATAAAATCCAAGGCCAGTTTTTCAATGAATGCCCAGAGTCAGGTAAGTGATTCATCTTATCTGATTTGTCATTTCCTCCACTGTGAAGCAGGAGATATCTCCACAGCATACATCCAACCACAATGTCCAGTGAATGTATTTCAAAAACTCAATATCCTTTGCAGTCCGTGTTTCATAATTCTCTTTGGAAGGTTACAGAAAAGAAATTGGCCCCATAATCAATAGTTGTATGCACACATATTGCTTTTTTCTGTCTTTCTTCCTCTTCCATCTTTGATATCATAAACATTTTTTTAAAAAAAGGTCATATATTAAGCACCTGGTTTTGAAAATGGAAGTTTTGTCTTTTTTCTTAGTTATTTGTCTAATTTCTTAGTTATTATTCTTCACATGTTAGTATTCATTATTCTCTCATAGTTTTAATCATCTGCTTAGCATTCCCGGGGATGATGGACAGGCATCATTTAAGCACTCCCCTATTGGTGAATATTTGAGTGAGGCCTTCCTTCCTTGATTCCTTTGTGCCTTCCTTCCCTCCTTCCCTCTTTCCTTCCTTCCATTTCTTTTCCCCCTTTCTCTTTCTTTTGTCCATCCTTTCTTCCTTTCTGTTCTTCCTTCCTTCCTTCCTTCCTTTTCTTCTTTCTCTTTCTCTATTACTTCTTCCTTTCCCCCTTCCTTTTTTCTTCCTTCCTTCCTTTCTTCCTTTCTTTCTTTTCTTTCTTTTTTTCTTTCTTTCTTTCTTTCTTTCTTTCTTTCTTTCTTTCTTTCTTTCTTTCTTTCTTTCTTTCTTCTTTCTTTCTTTCTTTCTGTCTGTCTGTCTATCTGTCTTATGTGTGGGTTATTAGAAACAATACTTCAGTGAATATTCCTGTATCTATATCTTTGCTAATGTATACTAATTATTACTATAGTTGGAAACAATGGATCAAATGGTAGGGATGTTTTCATTCTATCTAATTTTGTTGGAGAGGCAGGATAGCTGGAACTAAACCCCGTCTTCATACCTTAGCCCTTATGTACCTTAATGCTTTGAGGAAAGTTGAATATTAAAAGGAGCTACCTGAGTTGAAAAACACCCATGGTTAAATTTGTAAAAATAATTGGAAGCCTACTTTACATTCCATTTTCAGTGGTTGTTGGACTATAATTCCTTACAATTAACACATTCATTTGCTAAAGAATTGACATTTCATTGTATCTTTGAAATGCATTGTTAAAAGGAACAATATAAATTGTTCTCTTTTCCAATTGGGTTTTAAAAAATCTGTAATGATTTCTTAAGTGTCACATTATCTTGATAAAACTGTATGTGATTTTTCCTCCCTCTGGTTTTCAAGAAATAAATGCAATATTTATAAAGTCTCTTTAACCTGAACTATTTTTAGGCACTAATGCTTGGTCTTCTTAATGCCACACGTGCTAACATAATGTGTAAGATTAAGTACAATGGCACTAAATCTTTTCTAATAGTGAATATCCTTGAAATTCTCCCCATCACTCTGGAATTGGGGTTTCTTTAACTGTGACCTGATGGAGCCCACCCACCTTTAAAAAATCTCATTGCATTGTAATGATTGGGATATTAAAATTCATGAAGCAATAAAAGTAATTTGTGGGATTTTTTTTTTTTTTTTTTTGGTCAGTCGTGGGGCTTGAACTCTGGGCCTGGGTACTGTCCCTCAGCTCTTCAGCTCAAGGTGAGCGCTCTACCACTTGAGCTACAGTGCCACTTCCGGTTTTCTGGTGGTTTATTGGAGATAGGAGTCTCACAGTCTCTCCTGCCCGGGCTGGCTTTGAACCACGATCCTCAGATCTCAGCCTCCTGAGTAGTTAGGATTACAGGCGTGAGCCACCAGCGCCCGGCTAATTTGTGGGATTTTTAAATAAAATTCCACACAGAAACAAGATTGAGTCATAGTAACTCATTTAACTGTCAAGACAATGCAGAAATCTACATATTTCAGGGGGGGAGTCTGGATGATCCGTATGAGTTAAGCACAGCCTGGAAAAAGTGTTTCCAAGATACTCTCTCAACCAATAGATTGACACAGTGGTTCATGCCTATCATCTCAGCTATGCATATAAAGTTAGCAGGATTGTGGCTCCCAGTAGACCCAGACAAAAATGTTCATTAAGACCCATGGCAACAACTACTACAACAAAATCTAGACATTGAGGCATGGGCGCGTCATTCTGGCTGTGATGGGCAGCATAATTAGGACACTTATGGTCCAGGAGAGTCCAGGCAAAAAGTGAGTAGGGCACATGCCTAATCAACATCACCACTGTGATTGCTTTCTGTCCAAAATTGGGTGTACTGGCATTTGATATATGTAAGTTACAGCTGTCATATCATCTTAAAGGATTGTTTGCTTTATTAATATAAAGTGACCTTCTTTGTCTTATATGATTAATTTTGGTTTGAATCCTGAGTTGTCATATATGCGTACAGCTACTTTTGCTTGCTTTTGGGCTCTGTTGTTTAGAATATCTTATTCTGTCCTTTCATTTGAAGGCTATGTTAAATTTTGATAGTGAGGTGCATTTCTTGTAGGCAACCAATGATTGGGTCTTGTTTATCATCCAAATGAGCAGTCAGTGTTTTGTTTGTTTGTTTTGGCAGTACTTGGGTTTGAACTTTAGGGCTTCACACTAATCTGTTTCCTGAGTAAGTACAATTAAAGGTTTAAGCCACTGGCATTGAGCCCCAGTCTGTGTCTTTTGATTAGAGACATGAAGCTAGTAACATTCAGAGTTATTGAAAGATTTGTAGCAAGATTTGTCATTTTGTTTTAGTGTTTCTTTCCTAATCCTCATTTGTTTATTTACTTGTCAATAGAGATTTTTTTCTTCCCTGTATATTGACAGCGTTTATCTTCCTCTTCTGTTTGTGAGATTCCTTTAAATATCTGATGCAGAAATGTCTTAGTAGTGATAAATTCATTTAGTTTTATCATTGAATAGTGTGTTTCTTTTCCAGTTATAAGGTGATAGCTTTCCTAGATACAGTAGAGTTTACTTTGGCAATATCATTTAGGGCTTGAAATACATCATTCTTTGCCCTTCCGTGCTTTTATAATTTCTCTCGTGAAGTAAGTTCTTATGATGAGGCAGTCTTTATACATGATATGGGACTTCTCTGTTTTCAATATGATTTGCTTGTTCTGTATAGTTATTGGTTTAACTAAAATATGACTTGGAGAGGTTTTCTGATCCTGTCCACATGGAGTTCTAAAAGCCTCTTGTATTTGAATGACCACTTCTCTTACAAGATTTGGGAATGTTTTGCTATTATTTTGTTGAATGTTTTCTATGTGTTTAGGTTGTACTTCTCATTCTTCTATGCCCATCATTCATAGTTTTTGTCTTACAATGGTGTCCCATCTTGTATGTGCCAGTCATACTTTCATATCATTTTTCTCTTTATCTGAATGCTCTAATTCCTCTACTTTGTTCTTAAGCCTGATATTCTGTTTTTCACTTGGTTTAGTCTATTGGTGAGACTTTCAGCTGTGTTTTATATTTGATTTATTGAGTTTTTCATTTTCACTTGATTTTTTTTTTTATGGGAGCTTCATATTTTTATTGATTTCCTCCTGCATCTCCTGTTTGGTCTTCCTTATTTTGCTCAGCTGTTACTTATATTCTCTTGGGATTCACTTAGATGTCTATTTATAACCTTTTAAATGTTGTTCATTGTCCTTACAGTCATTCTTTTGAATTTCTTGTCTTGTATTTCATCCATTTCACCATCATGGATGTGTGCTACTGTGATGGAGTCCTAAAGTCTTGTTATTTCACATTTTTTTGTATTCCTACATGAGGATTTGGGCAACTGATGCCAAGTCATTGGTTGGAAGCTTTAATCACTGGTAGTCTTTCAGCTGAATATTCTCAATTCTC